GTTCTCTTGTAGAACGTATTAATGAAGAAATAAAATATAATGAGGAGTATATTTGAACAAAAAAAAGTCATTTCTAAGTAGTTTCTAATTGGTGCAATGTGATTCTAACATGGCGATATTTTGCTTTACTTCTAAAGTTCATATATTTATACTTAATGTCTGTATGCTGAGTGTCTAGTCAAATTCCTTGATTGTGCTCACAATGTTAGCCAATAAAGCCGATTCTGAAATGACTGATTGTGAAAATGTTCACAAACGCAAGGATATCTGTTTGCTTCTTATTTTAATAAGTTAGCAGCCTTTTCTTTATACTGCTACACTTTACTTGTCATCATACTGTCAGGGCATTAAATGGATATGTTCCACATACTATAGGCTGGGATTTTTAAGAGTCTCCAGGACAGCAGGACATTTGCATACTGCATTTTTGAAAGCTTATAAAATACCTTGCATTGAGCTGTTCTAATTTATTATATTTTCATGAAGTCAAAAAATATGCAATTAAAATCATTCTGTCTCAGCCTCTAATATAATTATAACTAAGCAACTAATTATTCTAACTTTTTTATATATATGGATGCAGACATTTCTAGAAATGGTGTTACATGGAACCGTTTAGAGAAGAAAGTACACAACTATCATTTATTTGTAACTTGTATCAATAAAAAGAACCTGAACATCCTCTAAACCCGCCCTGGAAGCTCCACATTCACCAGCATGACAGCTGCTCTTTAACATGTCAGTAACTAACACAAGGGCCCTGACGTCCCACATGGGTTTAGAAATAAGTATTTACAATTCAATTTTAACACTTAGATATAAAACAGTAATTCTTGCTGCTCAAAAAGGATGAGAAAATTGCTTGGTAAAATATGAAGCTAACATTTACATCTCTTAATAACCATAGACAACTACTTCAGCTGTTGTTGCCAATTCTGACCGCTTCACCGCCTGACTAATTCCGACACTTTTTTCGGTCTTTTTAATTTTTGCAAACATTTTTATGAGTATAATTATTTATTTCCCTCCTCTGTTCCACTCTGGTGTTGTGTCGAGCACTATTTAAGGATGAGCAGCTAACCGGAGAGATGCCGCGTCTGACCGGTCCGCCACTCCTCCCAGCGATAGAGCTCTCCCAGCGGCCGTGTCCCCAGCTGCACCGTCACCCCCCCCCCCCCCTCCTTTTGCACAACCCCAAACCCCCACCAAACCACCCCACA